ACCCCACCTACTGACAGGTGGTATGACAACCAGATAATCAGTGTTATTCACTTCACCTGTCAGTGCTCACAGTGTTATGGCTGATCGGTGTCTGTCGATGGCATAGGCACGCACAGTTGGTGTTGGCTCCTTCACTGACATTAGCTGTCTTTTGGCAACTAACATTAGCTGTAATGTTAGCCTCCTAGCTATTTTTCACCTCTTCAGCCTGGCTCAGCTTTTTGAGCTGACTGAAAAGAGTCGGTCATTACGTTATTATTTTTCCTTTCTTTTCTGGCATCCTGATTTATGTGCAGGTCCTGGCATAGCAAAGAAATTTACTCAGGCATTACTTAGTAGTTATTTCTCAGGTCATGTGGCCGGCTGCCCGCGGTACACTTTTGAAGTTTGGAGAGGAGAAAGGGTTTTTCATTATGAAACAGGCTCCATTTTACTAAAGAAACAATAAATAAAATGTTTATTTTTGTTGTTTTAATAAGTAACGGTGAGTATTTTGGTTAAATTTACTTATCATTGCTTATATGTAGGATGAACTAATTGTTGGCCTCCTTGGGCCTCCCTAGCAGCTGGGCCCCAGGAATTTCCCCCTATGTCCCCCCTTATGGGTGGCCCTGCTACTGTAGAACCACAGAACTGGACTTCCAGAAACAAAGAATCTTTTCCTTCTCTTCCTAAAGGGAGATTGTTGTTGATATACTAAAATATGCATTTTCACACTGCAACCGCAGTATTACAGTATACTGGATAACACACACACGAAATAGTGTGGGAAGTCCCCTCTGATTAAAACCTAATTCCAGTTCTTATGAGAGCATGGAAAACTCAGACCACATCCCCGCTCTCTCCTTCCTTTCTTTTCTTGTCATTTTCACACATTTTCACTTTACCTTATTTAAACCCTTTTTCCACCTCCTTTACATAACCCTCTCTTTTTGTTGGCGGCCACTGTTTTCCCCCTCCTCCTCTTCCTCCCCCTCCTCTCTGCACCACATTTCCAGTGTGTGTGCTCCAGTTTTCCAGGCGTGTGTTGGACAGGACAGCTGAGTTACAGTCCAGCCTCACTTAATACCACTACAATCCACATACTGTACTTTGAGGATTACGCAGGAGAGCTGGACTCACTGACATTATCACACTGAAATAAGCTGCACACCTCAAATAGTTGCAATCGTGATTAAAACAAAATGCCCAGATGCTGTAAGATCCAACATAAAGATTCTGTGCATGTCAAAAACAGTCCTAAGGTTCTATGTAGTGGCTGATCAGAACAGTATAAAGTGCATACTGTACTGTTTACCCATAGCTGGCATTTTGAGATGATATTTAATGTTTTGTTCATAATAATGACTTTATTCATTATTTATTTATCTGACAATGGGAACACCTAGAGGAGACCAGGGTTGGTTGGCACATTTTTATCTCTGTTATATTTGTCTGAAATATTCTTACCAGCAGCAAATGAAAGGTTAAAGTAAAGCTAAACATAAATGTTTTAATGTAAATGTCTAAAATTATGTGATTTGTAACTAAAGTCATGTTTTTGACACCATGAGTCAATGTGACAATGTTAAAATACTATAGTTGCAAAAATTAAGCAATCAAAATAAACTCTTTTAACATTTTACATTTTACACTTTTACATTTAATTCAAACAAGAACATTTAATAGAATATCTGCCCATTTTTAAAACCAAACAATGTGTTTAAGCAACTGATTAATTACCCATCATTGACCCATCAAAATACTACTACACTACACTACACTGTAAATAAATTTACAGGTTATTTCTGTAGTTTTATTAATATTATCATGTATTTTACAGAAAGAAATCTGCAAATTAAACAGGAAACCCTTACAAATACAGATTTATTTTTTTTACAGTGTATACATTCTTTTTACTCTTAAAAAAAAGTCTTTAATCTCTCAAAATACCTAACAAATATGTATATATTAACAGTTACAAGTTCAGGAACAGGAAAGCCATTACAGTGCTAACCAAGCCTGCTCACATTCCACCCAACTCTAGTCACTAGATAGTCAGCTACCGTCACTTATCACAGACTTCCAAATCTAATATCAAAATGTAGCTGATATCTGTGTCTAACTCAAAGTAACACATTTTCAGTACCTCAGTCTAACACTGTTATAATACGTTCAGTCAACAGACCACTTTACTTTCAGTACTGCAAACTGAAATGTTACCCTCACCAAATAAGGTAGTGACTTTCAGCTGCTTTAACATACAGTAGTAGATGAGTGCAGATCAGGAAAACATTTTGATATCACATTTTTGTTTCTGTGACTTTCAAAAGGACCAGAAAATGGCTCTGTGCCAACCAACCCCAGTCTCCCCTACAGTTTTCTAACTACTACAATTTCCAGCTTTACATTTGAACCAGAGATGATGATGATAAACAAATCAATAGAGCAGAGGAATTTATATAGTAAACTTAAAATCTCACAGCAATTTTATTATATTGTGTCAGCAAAAGGTCAGGATGTATGAATATTGCATAAGAAACATACTTTACAATAGTTACTGTGAAATCTAGAATTGCTGCTCAAACCTCAACTGAAGGGGTCTTCCTTAGAGACAGATCATTTAGAATTCTTCTGCTTTATATTCTATCATACTTTCCTAAGCTGTTTCTCATCTTCCCCATGTTTATTTGTTGATGCTGTTTGCTGTTACAAGTTCAACACTTCCTGTTTGAAGTCTTTCCCTGGTTCACAGGGCAGAACAGTCTCTTTGCTGTGAAGCTTCTCTCAAGCGGCCACAGGGTATAGATGTTTTCACTGAAGCTGATCTGCCATCTTGTGGCACCCATATGTTACTGAGGAAGACTCCATTGGAAAATACAGATTTATCAGCAGTGGGTTTTGTCCAGGGGTTACTTTTTCTATCAATACAACAACAACAACAAAGTGTATATAAAATACCAAGAAAGCAAACTTTCCTCATCCGGTTTAGGACGATGATGTTGATCTTTGATTGGCCCACATTTGTCAGCCAGACAGAGTCGCCTCTGTCCAACAGTTGGCCGACAGAAACCTGAGCTGACCCACTGATGGTCCACTTTGCATTTAATCAAAACCACAAAGCATCAGCGGTCCAACCTTATTTTCATCCAGTTAAGGATCATAATTGTAAACGGTCTCATTTTGGGCTAATATTATTTTTAAGGCATGAGAAAGCTTAATTTACATTTAACTAATCCAAAGCTTTAAAAAGCTGTAAAAGGTCATAACCACTGATGGAAGTACGCAGATCCTTTACTTCAGTAAAAGTACCAGTACAACAATGTAAGAATAATACATTACAAGTAAAGGTCCTGCATTTAAAATCTGTCTTAGGTAAAAGTACATTATCAATTAAATGTACTTCAAGTGTCAAAGTAAAAGTACTGTTCTGTTTTATATTTATATATATGTGTGTGTGTGTGTGTGTGTGTGTGTGTGTGTGTGTGTGTGTTATTCAAGTCCTCTCAAAAGGTCACAAGATAAATCTGGGGGGTTGTGAGATGATTAATGGGGTAGGAAACAGGGAAAAAAAAAACCACAACCTTTGCTTCTTTGTGAGTTACTGGATAATTTGACCTCTTGTCCCTCAAATATTTATTTAAATGAAAGCATGTGAGCGGTTTAGAGGGGAAATCACACCTTGGTGGAACTGCTAACAACTCAAACAACTCAAACATCTGCAACGTGACAAGAAACCAGATGTTTTGGGGTTTTTTCTGGTAAGGGGTCAAAAACCAGATAAGTTGAGAATAATTGGTTAATCATTAACAGTGTGTTTTATAACGTACGTTTATGTAAAATCTTAATCTGAAAACCAACTACAGCTGTCAGATAGCTGTAGTGGAGTAAAAAGTACAAAGTAGCATGAAATGGAAATAGTTAAGTAAACGTACTTGAACATTGTATTCAAGTACAGTACTTGAACAAATGTACTGGTCCATTACAAATGTGTACTGAGCATTTTCTGCCCACACTACTGTAATAATATATGTAGTGCTGACAGTAGGACCAACTTTTTATGATTTCTTTTTGTTTTGTTTTTTCCCCTCTATCAAGTTGAAAAGCCTTAAAGGATGAGTCTAAAAGATGAATTCCACTATTGTATTATAGTCTTGGTTGCATTAGACCTTCAACCCCTCTAAAAGGATCAGTAAAAGGCATCTGACATCGAGACTCAGATCACAGCTGTGCCTCTCTAGCAACCAGAGCAACACAGTGGATCACAGTGAACTTTAGAGAACATGATGGAACATAAAAAAACATTAACATATTCATAAACTTTCAGAGTGGAAATTCTCTTTTGGTATTAATCATTGTGACTGACAGGTTCCAGAGAGTTTATCTAGGCTGCAGTTGTAGAAAATATTATGTCATTTGAATTACGACTGAGGACTGTGGTCTGTGTTTTTAACGGCTGCCTGTCAGAAAGTCCAGAACAAATAAATCTGTTGAAATTCAGCTTTGTGTGGGAGCCACTGTCCATCCCTTCAGTGCAGTCTGACTGGATCTGAACCAAACTACACTGTCAGGTGGAAGGAACCAACAGTCTCTGTTAGATGTGTAGAAAAAAATATAGAAATCTGGGAGGAAGAATGTGACAGTGACACCGTTCAAAAGAGAATAGACACACACACACCACTCTGTCACACATGTACGGTCTCAGATTAGTGCCAGGAACAGATATCAGCAGAAGTATTTTCTTATATATTCTCTCTCTCTCTCTCTCTCTCTCTCTATATATATATATATATATAGACAGACACACACACACACTTTATTTACATAATTTATGTGTATTACACAACAGTCATCTCTCCTACTTCAGAGTTGAAAAACAGGCAGCATGAACTGGAAACTCTGTGTGCTGGCATATTATTTATTCTGAAGGGGTGTATTACACCAACACTGGCATATACTGTAAGCTTCAGTGAGCTGCTGTGGGGCTGTTAAAGGGCTGCACAACCCAGAGACGTCTGATCAACAGTCCAAAGATGTTTAATGTAAAGTGATATAAAACAGAAAAAACAAGCAATTACTCCTTTGAGAAGCTGTAAGCAATGAATAGTCGGTATTTTTACCTAATAAGTGATAGTTACAATATATATTTATTCATATAAACAATGGAGCTCTTTTAGCTAAAAGAGTCAATATTGGACATATTCATCAGGTGGACTAAAACACGACTCCAAATGAATGATAATGTTGTTTTGTAACAGCTGAATGTATAAATAAGCAACTGTTTTCTAACATGCCTGCAATAACAACTTTTTAGGTTAATTATAGGTCAGTTTTGTGTTCTAAAGTTGTTTCTGCTGCCCCCAAGTGGTAAAAACCAAAAACAGCAATCAATGGCCAATAAAATATTTTTCATGCAAATTTTCATGCAAATTCTTTTCTCCATCTTATAAGATATACAACTGAATATGTTTAGGTTTTGGACTGACAAAACAAGTAAATTAAATCACTGTTTACTGACAGATTAATTGACCATAATGGTTAGCTGCAGTCTGAATAAACACTGAGCTGAAACTCACTATAAAGCTCTGTAAAGCTGAGGGGAGCTGCTACTCAGCTGACAATTCTCTGTTCTCTGGCACATTGTTTTCACATTGATATTTGATACATTGTTATTAAATATTAAAAATATCCATTACAAACAGCTTTAAGAGATTAAATTATGAAAATATTTGATTCCTTTTCTGTTTCAGCACCAATTTCTGTTTACAACAGTTCTTTAAACATCTGAAAGGCCACTTAATGTCAAGAGACACTTTTATTTCAATTTTTAAAGTTCTTTTCACAGAGTAAGTGTTTGTACAAACCAGTTTGACTTCCACCGTCACACAGAAAGAAAGAAATCCTACAGTAATCAAAAATGTTAGATTTCTTAAGCACTGTACTGTATTAGTACTTTCTTTCTCAGTCTTTATAACCTCTTGCAAGAGGACCGTTACAATATTTCTTGTTTGACTGTGTGTTCTCTTTTTCTGCCTGCAGAGACTGCATTGATTTGAATGTGTGTGTGTGTGCATTATTTCTGTATGTTCAGGTGTCGGATCTCGTCCACTCTGTTGCGATGCAGCTGGAAGGCGGGAGTGACCCAGCGACCACACGAACACTGATCACCACACCAGCTGAATGATCCCAGCTTAGAGCTACACTTTGGACACAGCAGCTACACACACACACACACACAGACACAGACACAGACACACAGACACAGAAAAGGATAAGAGGGTTCCATGAGTGCAGACAAAAAATATGATCATAAGATAGATCAGTTCTTATTGAGGGATTCAAGACAAATAGGGTGGTATTGATCAGTTCGAGATAGCGATATGTGATCAATCAAACACAGTGTGTCAATTGAGTGATGTGGTGCCTTTGTCCTTGGTTTTGTCCAGCAATTGTTGTCTTAAGAAAAGAATATTCTGGCTAAAAATATATTAGCCTAACCTAATTGTGACACACTTAAAAAATAAGATAATAATCTGAAATTAAAAGCTCCATCTGATTATTATACTTGTAGTATAATCTATAAGCATAATCAGAGCACATCAGTTCAAGTGAGGCTGGGAGTATTTTATGTCCAATAACAAGAATGCGTTTCCTGACCTCTGTGTGTGTGTGTGTGTGTGTGTGTGTTTTTTTTTTTTTTTTTTGTGTGTGTGCATTACCTGTCCATCCATCACTCCAAGTAGAGCTTGTTCCATCCACTGCACTGGTTCAGTGAAGTAAGACGTACACTGGACATCTCCTAGACAACAACACATTTCATATCATTAACTAGAGAAAAAGCTTCATTCAGTATGTGTGGTTACTGCAACTGGACATTTTCACTGCAAACATTTTGACTTGCCATTGTAAGCAAAGCATGTGTTACAAATAAGATTATCAATGACTGTGTTTTATTAAAGTGTCCCAGTAAGGCATAACAGTGTAAGTGAAGCAGGTGGGTCTGGTGCAGATTACAAGATGATTTGCCTGTGTCAGACAAATTTCTTTAATAGGGAACTAAAACCCTCACACTCATGCCTGTCAGGACAGGTCGTCTAAATCTGCAAAAACTGAAAATTTGTGTGTGACAAAATCATCTTAAACTCCACCTGTACGGTCGAGTCCATACAGTGAGTTGCACTGTGAGTAATGTAGCTGTCAAATTTTGACATAACTGTTTGTTATATGCTGCTCTAATCACAGTGGTTAAAGAAATAATTCAACATTGTTGATGCTAAATCAGAGCAGTACTCTCTGAGCTTTCATCCACATCTTAATGGTGGTCTTTTTTATGACTCAGGAGGAGTGCGAGTGCCTGAATGAGTTGTGTGTCACTGCTGCAAACAACAACACATAATACAATTACACATAATTACACACAATTTTTTATTTTTTTATTTTTTCAAACTCGTCATGCAGTACTTCCCACAACCCCTTGAGCAGGTGAGACTCCTCTGGGCTAACAGTACAGTTGTGTTCTTACCAGTGAGGTTACTTGACTTCTTGTGACCAAAGGCTGGCGCTCCTTCTCCTACTGGGTGACTGAGGATACTGGACTCACGGAACAGAGTCCGTCTGCAGAGGAGAAGGTGGAGGATGAGCACAGAGCCGGGATCAGGATGTGCATTTCCTAAAATGTTGAATTATTTCTTTAACCACTGTGATTAGAGGACTTATAATTTGACTTTGTATTATAAAATAAATGCACTATTATTCTTCCTTGTTGGCATCAAAATTCAGGAAGAAAATGGCAACAGTAAAAAAAAAAATCTAAAACAACTTGAGTGTCTTTCAAGGTCTTTGACTACCCCCATGTGAATTCAGCATTGTTGTCTCCACCTTTCACCTGCACTTCCTGCAGCGATAGGACACTTCCGAAGAGCTGGAGTGGGCGGGGTCAACGGCAAACAGCTCCCTGGGAACATGCTGCAACTCTACTCAAACACACAATATAATAGAAATCATTTTCAAACTTAGGATCCATGTTAGAAAAGTGTGTGTGTGTGTGTGTGTGTACCTGGGTACTTCTCAGTGATCTTGGTCAGTCTGTACTGTTTGTACAGAGGACTGGAGGTGTCCACTTCACACTGCATGGCCTCATACAGACACAACTGCTCCTCGAAACCGCTGTTGACCCTGAAACACCCCCATCAGCTATCAGTTATTTGTCCTGCTTGGAATAAACAAACACATACTCTTAGGGGTTGTGTCCACATAGCATTTTTTTCCTGAGCGCCAGTGTCTTCTTCAGTTGTTCCCAATGAGGAAAGAGTAAATGCGCCCGCATGCGGTTGCCTAGAGAGAAAGCACCCAACCTCTTTTTCAGAGAGCTCTGCCTTTTTTGGACGACAGCTCCGAGTGCTTCTAGTGAAAATCTCTGAACTATTCAGAAAGGCACTGGTGACATCACCGTCACACATTTTCAGGCAACCAATCATATTTCAGATGGGGCACTCGTCACCCTGGTAACCAAGAAAACGGAGGAGAAGCTTGTTCTGACTGTGAGCTTTATGATATGTCAGACAGCAACTCTCATAACTGAGACAGAAAAGCAGACTATGCTGAGTCATTTCTGATCACACCAACTTCTTAAAACATTATGTGGACACAAGCCTTTATTCTCACTAACCTCTGGTGGTATCTAGCCTTACAGCTCAAGTACAAACAGTAAGAACACAGTTTACAGTTAGTAAATAATTATCAATTCAGAAAGCAGTGTGGACACACACACACACACCACACACACACACACACACACACACACACACTTACTGCACATCCTGTTTGACACCCTTCAGTCTGTGGTAAGCCTCAGTGAAACACAGCTGGTATCTCTTCATTAAATAAGCAGTAACGATGGTGGCACTGCGACTCCGCCCCGCCTGGCTGACACACACACACACACACACACACACACACACACACACACACACACACACACACACACACACCCGACGGCAGACAGACAGACAGACAGACACCACACACACACGTAAATGAAAAAGAATTCTACCAATCAATTAAAAAATGTATTTATTTAATAATAACTTAAAGACAGAAACGAGTGAAAGATAAAAACAGAGGGGTGACTGGGAAAAGCAGAGGCATCCGTTGACCTCTGACCCTACCAGTGAACAAGTGTGGCCCCGCCTCCATCCACAGCCTCCCGAATGAACAGGAAGCAGTCGTCCATGTGACTCAGGAGGTCAGAAGTCACCTCATCCAGAACGTTGATCCACTTCCTGTGGAGGCCCCCGTCAGCGGGAAGCAGAGGGACGGGGTCCACGGAGTCCACAGACAGGATGTGTGTGACGGCTGCATTGGCCAGCCCCCTGCTGTCATTGAGGTCAGCCGCAGTGCCGATGTACAGACCGGGGTCCACCAGGAGCATGACTGCAGCAGGACACAGAGCTGAACAACATGTCTCCTTAAAAACACAAACTCACAAACATGATGTTCCTGCCAGCAGCGGTCTTTGATATCAGGAACCTTAAACCTCCTACTCAAAGAGGAGATGGTCTACCATCCAGTATTCTTACTGAAGAACATACGTCTCTTCTTCTACTTCTTTGTATCATTTAGTGTACATTTGTTGGATATTTTGGTGTAAAAATGAAAATAAAAAGACTGATATAGAAAACACCAGTATTAACTGCAATTTGCAGACAGAGAAAATATTAATAGTGTTTAGATTTCATTCATTGGATAGAGAAGAACTTTATTCAAAATGTCATATGTTAATGCTCATCTACAGTTCACACACTTCATTTAGGTTGTGGAGATATGAAGACAGAGGTTGAGCCTGTGGGGTAAATGTGTGCGGGGTCTCATGTTATGATTTACTGTTCGCACTGTGGCTCTGTGTTTTGTTGATTTAGGAAGTATAAATCATGTAGATTATATTGAGAAATGATCTTATATTCATTCATTCTGCAGTATTACAAATTCATGTTCTTATACATTAATCTTTTATTGGTAATATGGGAGGTCGACTGTAAAAGTCTATGGCTTCTTGACCTCTCCTATCACATCTGCTTCACTTCTGTCATCTGTTTTCAAAGCCATGAAATAGCACAGAGGAGTTACAATGACAGTAACAAAGGTTGTGTTCCATTAAACAGAGCCAGGGTGCTGCTGCTGTACATGTTGGCTCACTGTAAAGGTTCTGCTCCACTAAACGGAACACAACCTTAACGTTAGTTACGTTAGTAATATTGAGAACACCTGTGTTTACTAACGTTACTATTATATGAAAATGACTACCGGTGATTTAACGTTAAGTTTCAAAGCGTCTTTCTCAGACTTACTGTACATGCACTATGAGGCGACAGGACTGAACAAAATAACGTTAGATATTTATTTTAGTAAAGGTCTCTGCGTTGAATTTCTCCTTCAACCTGACAGAAGTGAGCTAACATTAACGTTAACGTTACCGTTAGCGCCATGATGGCTGTACAGACGGTGCTTCGCTCACCTCGTTAGCTTGTTGTAGCTCTCCCACTCCAACTGCTGTTTCCGTTTCCGTTGCTAACCACTTTTAACGTGATGTGCTCAGTAAATAACAACAACAAAAACAACAACAACAACACAGAGGTACCAGACGGGCTCTGGAGGTACTATGAAAAGAAAACGTGTGGTATCTCAAGTGTTTGGTTCGTCTTTGACACTGTCCGGGCGAAAACGTACAGCAGCACAACAGTTCCGGTGTTGTCTGTAACCCCTCATTGATTGACAGTATATATAATAATTATAATAAAAAAATAATAATTAAAAAGAGTATTATTTAAATGTTTAGGTTTTAAGATTATCAATCAATGATCAAACTATGATCCCTATAATAATTAATATTCGGTCTAGACCTGCTCCTCTATTTGAAAAGTCTCCTGAGATAACTTCTGTGGCGCTATACAAATAAAATACAATTGAATTGAATTGAATTGAATTATTAATTATTACAATCAATCAAAACGGTCAACCACATTTCTTCTCTTGTTGTTCCAATTTCCCAAAAATTGGATAAAAGTTTAAATATTCCATTCCTCTTCTTGCTGGAGACAGCTACAACCCACTCAGGGACCCCTGCTGGTCCCCGGACCGACTTTGAAGACCACAGCTTTATGACATACTGTCTTTCTTTCCTTTCTTATCTGTCTGTTTGGAGGATATGTCTCCTGGTCAAATTACAGTATACTGTTACAGTACAAATGATTCATTATAAAAAATATAAATTACACCATTTTCAGAAAATTTAAAAAGAATTTGAGAGCAGTACCTGACCTGACTGCCAAGGTTCCACCTGTATGGTACCTGATCAGTGCGGAACTGGACGGACACTAGACCTCCTGTTTGCAAAGAGGACTGCCACAATGTCATACACAGCAAAGAAGTTCACCTTGCTCAACTGGAACCAGAAAAGTCCTCCAACATTTAATTGGTCTTTTCTGAAGGAAACACTAAAACTCACAGCTCACTTATACTTTAAAAAAAATGGACGGGGGATATCTTTCTGAGAACACAGGAATCTCTTATGGACCTCTGAGTGTAGATGGGTTATTTTATTTGTTTATATATATTCTTTCTCCGTGCTTTGGGTATTTTTCATTTGCTTATTCACAATCATTTTCTATTTTATTTCACTTTAGTTACTATTATTACTATTCTTTCTTAATTTTCTCTACTCTTGTTATTTATGTTTGATAATTGAAGAAAATTAATAAAGAAATAATTGGAAAAAAAACCCTTCCATTTAACTACCATTTTAATCCCAATTTTCTTGACCATTGTTTTAATTGGTACTCTGTTTCATTGTAACAATATTTTAACGCATTGATGCCCCATTTTCCTGATCTGAATTAGATTCATACGACCACAAACTGAGAGTAAACAAAAAGAGAACATTCTTTATCCACAAGGACAATTAACGTAAAATTGGCTTCAGCTATAAAGCTGCAATAATGAGTAGGAACAAGTGAGGACAGTGAGGGGAAGATACCAGGAGGATGAGGTAATGCAGGCAAACACTGGTCAGCATCCCACAGTCTCATCAGAGAGTCATCGCCAGAGTCAACTGAAGAAAGTATACAAGCTGGAAAAAACAGCTCTACAAACACCCTGTGAGCTACAGACACACTGATCAAATGAACTGTCTGACTTATGTATTAAACTCACAATCACATACTCAGCGTGAATGAATATTCTCCTTTCAGTTATGCTTAGTTATGTTTGCCAGACACTCTTTAAATATATGTTTCATAATGTCTGTCTGGCCTCCTGGTTCTCAACACCTACTGAGTGTGTGAATGTGTGTGTGGTGCTCTCAGCTGCCCGCCCGCCAACGTGTGTCCCACAGTCTGTACATGGTCACAATGTGGGGTGCTAATAAAGTTTTTATGAGCTGCTTTAATCTGACCGTCTGACCAATCCCAATACCTCGCTGTGACCACACCCCTCCCTGAGGGCTCATTAAAGGGCAGCCCATCACACATAATTGACTGTTAGAAATGAAGCATATGGAAGTACAGTCAGGGCAGCAGGTGAATGGGAACAGAGTGGGTGTGTTGATGTGTCTGCTGCAGTGACTCATTCACATTGTATCATCTCTTTAGCAGATGGCCTGTAAGGAAGTCAACAAGCTCGTGTGTAACAGACGTCGAACAGCCTTTACCTCAGACTTCTGTTTTCATGAAAGCCACTATGTGTAGATTTTATTATGATTTTAGCATCGTTCAATTTATGATAATGAAAGTTTTTGATTGTAGATTGCAAACTGATGCAGTCTGTGTGTTGCTTTCAGCCCATTCTCCAAGGGAGTCTGAGGGTTGGAGTCCTGTATGTACCAGCATGCATTGCTTTCTGCCACATTGTCTTTTTGATACTACCACTGGGAAAGTCACAAATTTAAAATCCTACACATACAGTAGGTTCTTTAAATGATCGGTGTGTAGGATTCAATTGAAGTTGTACTTTGCAACTATTTGAATATGGCTCAGCCTCCCAAGTGTGTACAAGAAACTATGGTGGCCATGCAAAACATGAAAGACCCAATCCAGACCCAGTGTTTGGGTTATCTGTTCTGGGCTACTGTAGAAACATACCGGTTCAACATGGCGGACTCAGTAGAAGAGGTCCCACTCCTTTTGTAGATACAAACAGCTCATTTTAAGGTAATGAAAACACAACTATTCTTGTGATTTTTAGGTGATGATTTGGTGAATCGGCACTTTAAACAGTGACACAAACTGATTGATTGATTGATTCATTGTAATTAATTACTTATTGACTGAGATTGATTGATTGTGACTGTGATTGAGTCAATCATAGTTACAGTATTACCAACAGTATAGATTATAATTAATTCATTGTAAATATTGTTTTCCTTTATTGTTATTATTATTATTTTTAATTCCAAACGCTTGCTTTGGCAATATGTACAGTGTTACGTCATGCCAATAAAGCCATTTGAATTGACAGACGTTAAAGCCAATCAAATTATTTCAAACAGAATGACAATGACAAAAAAAAAAAGTTAAAAATACATATATTTTAAATTTTATATACACCGATCAGCCATAACATTCTGACCACTGGGAAGCCTGCTGATCAGTTTATAAATATAACATATACAGAGAAATATATACATAGAAACATCAGCTCGAGAAGAACATCATAAACAATCTAAATATCTTATAAACAGAGGTACATTACAGAAAACACCTCAACCTCTTTATCCATGAGGTGACTCGGTCCTCAGATGGTGAATCCAATAGTGTTCCCTCCTAGAAGTTAAAACCTCCAAGTTGCCTCCTCTCGGGGGAACTGATACCTTCTTAATCCAAAGATGTTTTAGAGAGGAAGTAGGATGACTTCAACTAAATGTGCTGCTAATGGATCATTTCCAGGAGTTTTCAGTGCTCTACTCTTTTGCACAGCTTTTCAACTTTCATGATCATTTTAAGAGATTAGAGCACATCCAGTTTGCATTATTAGAGCTTGTTTTATGTTTGTGTGTCTTAATTGTGTATGGGCATTGCCTGATGTTGGTCCTGTGTTCATAAAGAATAGATGATCTGAAATATTTAGTTTCTACTCACTTGACTATGTAAGTATTTAGTAAAATATCTTTCTGCATTAACCAGCCTCTCCTTGGATTTATTTCCTGATCTTTGCCAATCTTCTCCTCAAATCTTTTTATCAGATGGTAGTCTTATCCAGATACTCAAAAAGGGCTTCCAGGTCTTGCCAAAGGATTTGCTTGAGTCTGTAAATGAAAATCTAATCTTTTCAAGTTTTATATGGTTCAGGATCTCCTTGAGTCAGCTACTGTGTGAGGGGGGAAGAGCATCCTTCCACCTGAATACAATGACATCTGATAGAGTTGTAAAGGCCAGAACAGGCTGTTTTATTAATGGAAATTGGGTGTCACAAGTGTTGAGACTCTAAATAGAAGCATTCGGGGTTCAGGTTTGAGGTTAATGCCAAAAAGTGTGCTAGATTTTTGACACCGGAAATCAGTTACGTTTGGACAGGACCAAAACATATGAGTATGTTTAGCGGGCAACTTTTTGCACCTATTACAATTATCACTGGTGGCTGGGTACATTTGTCATTGTTTTAATGTACTCTGAAAAGATCTTTCCTGTACATTACAATAAGCCATGCCTAGGACACATAGGACAGGAGTGGACTAGGTCAAGGATATGGTCCCATTGGTTGTTAGATACTGGCCCACCAAGTTCCTGTTCCCAAACCTGCTTCAGATGGGTTGTCAGGTGAGAGTTAAAGGAGTATATTTGCTAATCTTAGTGTTAGGCAGAGATAAATCTATCCACATCAAAATAAAACAAATGCCTCACCAGATTGACCCCTCTCATTCATTTCCTCTCTTTGGCTCTGTCCCCTTATCCCACATGTAGACACTTTTTATGACCAACGGACTGAGCTGAACAATTGAAACTCCACCGCAAAATTGTAGAAACCACATGACATCAGCTCTGGTTGGCTCCAGCACCTCATTCCTCAAGCTGGCTGGCTGGGAACATGTGTCCAAAAGGCAACAGGTAGGAGTGTTACCACATGGGACGACACCGCAGACCACACAAGTGGAAAAAACACAAAAATATAATGTACCCGAGTATTTTAGTGCTTTATGTTAATTTACCTTTAACTTAAAGATAGTTCCCATTCATAACACTGATCCAATTTGATCCCAGGGTTGCTTTTTTGTTGAAAATGTTTAATGGTGAAGTATCTGCACTGAACAACTACCATAAGAGTAACTTGTAATTAGTTACTTTCCATCATTGGTCCTGAAAGGGATAACTGTGTGTAGGAGTCATTTACTGCCAGTGTAGGAAGTTTAAATACGTCTTGGCAGTTTTTAATTAGTCTGTGGGTGTAGTGTGAGTGTGTTTGTGTGTGATGTTAATTAAAAGTGTCCTGTCTCACTGCCTGTTGTCTCATATATAAGAGCAGCAAACTGACAGACTGAAAGAAGACAAGCAGAGGTGACACACTGAGAAGGTAGCTGCTCTCACTCTCTCTCTTACACTCCCTTTGTCGCAACTGTTGATCGCTCAGATTCCATTCAGGCTGAAGATGATGATGAGGATGATGTTGAAAATGTGGCTTCTGTTGCTTGGCCTTGCTGTGACCTACAGTGATGCTGCTGGACCAGGTACGTACTGACACATGTATTTAACTTTGCAAATATTAATTTTAATTAATAAATTGGAAAATAGTATGGCACTTTGTGATACCAAAATTACACACATAATGTGTTTTAATTTTACCCTTTAATGCCTTTCTGATGCCTCTTAGTGTACCTCAGAATGTCTATTAATGCATCTAATAATGTAATATAAGAACAATTTTTCTTGTGATGTCTGTTATATGATCTGGTTAGGTAATTTTTATTGAAATATATTTTATCATATTTGCTGAAACTTTCACTATATCCTGAAAATAGTACATGAGACAATTAATCAGAAAATCAAAAAATCTTGTTCCTCAGACTCTTCCTAGTGCTCCTAATGGCGTTGATAATAATCCACCGGGCTTGGACGAAAACAACCAATCAGAGCTGAGAAAGATTGTTGATTATAGAGTCTCATTCCCAGGTTGTCAATTACAGATGCTTTGGGACCCTGGGAATGATACTCAGAAATCAACTATTTTCCCCAGCTCTGAATGTCAGGATATAGTGAACGTTTCAGCAAATATGACAAAAAGTGATTTTTATAATAGTTACCTGAAGCTTTAAGCAACTATTATGATCTACTAATGCAGATCATCTAATGTCTAATAATGTCTCGTGTTACTCTAATAAAATATTGCAATAAAATTCTGATTCCTCACAATTACTCGATGTGAAATAATGTCCCTAGTATGCCTTATATTATCTTGTAACACACCTAACAGGTCTTAAAATGTCTAATATTAGAGCTATGGTAACATCTAAGGTTTAATATTGTACCCATAATACCTTGGGATGCCTTGCAGTCCAGTTGATATAATAACGTTTTGATGTCATAGAATACACTTATGTTGTCTTATGAATAAAAATGAAAGGATTACTGAAATTACACACATCTCTCTTCAGGCAGCTGTGTGGGTCGCTGTGGTGAGACGTTCACCAGAGGCCAGCAGTGTACCTGTGACTTAAGCTGCCTTCTACATAATGAGTGCTGCCAAGACTTCCAGGCTATTTGCACCACTGGTAAGACACTCACTGTTAGACACATGCAGTGAGATAGAGAACAACTGATAGACCTTTTGATTTATAGTAGGAGAAACACAGGTGTTACCAATAACATTAACAATCTCTGCATTTTGTCATGACACAACATTTACACCTGTGCTTTTACTACAGTGTCAAAATACCCATTGCTTCCTGTGGGCCGGCAGCAAACAGTAAATTTGACACAGCAAAGATATAGTGAAAAGACCAAAGAGGCATGCATACAATAACTGAACATATTATTATTTTTTGTTGTCTTTATAGAGCTTTTTAGCCTCTTTTAGCTTGTTCCATTTTTTCAAAGCATTTTAGCCTTTTAATTATCTTGATGTTTTAGCTTCTATGGACTTTTTAAGCTTATTGTTTTAGTTTCTATGGAACTTTTGAACCTCTCTAAACTCCTCGGTTTACAGCACATTAAGCTTCCCTGATCAACCTGTTTCCAGCAGTCAGTTGCCTTTAGTGAAATAATTCTAATAAAGCCACTAGCACCAATAGTTAGACGGCCAAAGTAGTTAGCTGGTGAACATAATGGAGCCAGATTCACTCCATGGACAGAAACATGGCTGCATGAATGCTAATGTTCCTTCTTATCTACTGAATGTGTAATAGACAATTATTTGCTAACATGTTAGTTTTATAACGCAATGTCAGGTCTGTGTGTAATTCTGCCTCCTAGTGGCCAAAATAGACGAATGCAGCTTTAATTTTCAGACCCTTTTGGAAACAATGTGTGCTCTCTGCTGTGTTGACAATGTTATGGTTTTTCTGGCTGTTCTCAGCTCAGTCCTGTCAGGGTCGTTGTGGTGAGGGATTCCAGCGCGGTCAGCTGTGCGAGTGCGATCCACAGTGCATCCACTACAACACCTGTTGTCATGACTACCAGCTACACTGTGGTAAGGGCCACAACAACACAGTTATACATACATACACACATACTGCCCCGCTGTGACTTCGCAACACATACACAACTGTAGTAGAGTTTGAAGACCTCTAATGAAGCTTGAAGAAGCTTGGGAATGGAGGAAGATGATTTGAATAGCTGGCACTGTTTTAGTGGTATAACACTAAAAACCTTGTCTCTCTGTCCACAGATGCCAGTGTGTCCGTTTCACAGTCCAGGACTTTCCAGTCTCTGAGGGCTGCAGCTTCAGGTTAGCAGCCATCAGTAACAACTAACTAACCAGCAGTAGAGCCTCCATTTCACTGCCATTTGTTATTACTGTACCAGATATATTACTTCTCTCTAAATACAGCAACCAAACCAAAATGTAGCTCCTTGTGGACTTCTCAAACCTGTTTTGCTCACGTAAACTGTCAATATACATGAGCTTTGAGAAGAAAACAATGTTAAATGCAGAGACACTGATGAATATCTTTAATATGCTTAATTTGTGCACAACGCAGGTACTAGGAGGCAACACAAAAGGATCAGACAGGCAGATGCTCAGAATAACAATGTCTTTCAGCTTTACGCTCTTCAGGCAAGCTTAAAGCGTGTTGTAGCTGCTTGTCTTTCAAACATTGTGCAGTGAGAAAGTGTTCAGGCTTTATCATATTGACAGCCTTGCACCTGAGTGATGGGCTTAGAACTAGTTTCCTTATGGCTGCCTGTCAAAGTCTTTCCTGTTCCTTTTGAATACTAACCTGACGTCGGAAAGAGACACGTCTTCATAAACCGGATATCTTTCTCTTTTTGTCATAATTTTCTCCTCAGGAAAACGTAAATCAGAGAAGAGCAGGAAAAGGTCCAACAGTGAGAGCGAGGAATGGTACACAGGTAGATGCTGTTCCAATGCTGAATTTGAGAAAAACTGTATCACTGTATCCAAACAGTCAGTCAGTTTCTGTATAATTTACTGTAATGATTAATGCTATTATATCATGGTCATTTTTATATAGCGAGGCGTTCCTGCCCACAGTACCCTGGGGCTCAGTGCCCAGGTACATTAGGCTCTCTCAACCCACTCCCTGCCAGCTCTTCTGGTCCCACCCCTCCAGTTATACCAATCATTCAACCACAGCATGGTATGGAATATTTCTTTCCTTCTTTTTTTAAAAATGTCAGTGTTATACTAAAAATATATTGTTTTGTCTAATTACATAAGAACTTCTCCATTTCTTTTCCCCCCCTAGGTGTGAGAAACATCCCTGTTGGTCTACTGCCAATGTCCAGCACTTCCTCTCATGGTGGAGCTCCACACTCACCAGCCCCTGGCTCCTCTCTGCCCAGCTACAGTGCTCCGTCTCTGGGCAGCAGTGGTCCCGTCAGTCCCTCTGGTCCTGGAGCTGCTGGTAGAAATTTGAACGTCCACCTGGTCTTGTCACCTGGGGGAGTGGCTCCATCTGGGCCAAGTCAAGGTTAATTAAACCGAGAGTATTTCATTTTGAATGTTGATCTGATTAAATTTATCTTAGAATGTTTGTTTTATTGACTTTTGAATCATTGTAACTATTTTTTAAATGTTCTTACCATTTGTTTTGACACTTATATTTGTGAAACGGTTTTATTTAAAAAGAACCTTTTGTACCCTACATAAGTATATTTTAAAAAATCCTTGCATTTGACCACACAAAAATAAATTTTCTTTGTCCCCAGGTCTCAGTGGCCCAGCAGGCTCCAAGCCCAGACCCAGCACCCTACAGGACATAGCCCAGGCCTTGGGTCTCTCGCTGGTGGAAGCAGGTTCTGAGGGACCAGGGACAGGTAGGATAAGTGGTCCTGTGGATGTATGTGTCCCATTTTGACCAACTTCAGTCTCTTTACATATACAAATGTATTATCACAAATATACATTTATAGTAATGACATCTAAAGAAATGTTGTGAACAGATCAGAATGAACCTCTCCTAACACAATCAGTGTCTCTGTATCAAAATGATACATGAGACTTGCTTGATTCATTAACCCAACAGTAATATTAAAAATGAAACTGGATCCATTTTAACTGAGGGGTTTTGTGTGTGTGTGTGTGTGTGTGTGTGTGTGTGTGTGTAGGACTACTTGCTGATGTCGACCTATGCAGTGACTCTCCCATCAATGGACTGACAGCCCTCAGCAATGGGACCATACTGATATTTAAAGGTCAGTATCAGTGTGTCCCCTTATGGACAAATGTTGAACTGTACATGTATTTAAGTGTGTAATGACTCCGGATATATATATTTAAGATTGTCAGTGTATTTTGTGTCTGAGTGTCCTGTGTAAGCTGTATCAGTTACCTGTGTGTTTCAGGTGATCTGTTCTGGTCAGTGGACCCTGTCAGTCGCTCAGTCGGTCGTCCACAGAGTATCACAGACACTCTGGGTGTCTCCTCTCCCATCGACACTGTCTTCACACGCTGCAACTGCCACGGAAACACCTACATAATCAAAGTATGAATATTACTGTAACCCGTTATTACTGCTGCTAACACTGTGTTACTACACTGCTGCTATTCTACCTCCCTCTGCTTATTTGTCTGTTTAATCTCTAAAGTTGTACTATAGTGAGCAGGGTTACGAGGGTTAATTTAAAATGTATTCCAATACAGTTACTAATTAGCTCAGTGACCTCATCCAAGTATTACAATATTTGATTACTTTCTGTTACTTTTGGGTTACCTAAACATCAAATATGCAAATAAAGAGAAAAATATATCCTCTGATCAGTGTATTAACGATAATGTAATGCTGATTCAGGCAGTAGCCATTAGACACATAAAAGAGATATATAAAAGAAAAGAGGAATACATTCAAATATATATACGTATATACATAAACAGAAAATACATTTTGAGGTGGTCCTCAAGGGCAGGCAGCAGAATTTCAGTGTAGAGATATGGGGATTAGACTGCTAACTGCAAGAACGGACTGGAAGTTAACCAAAATGCTGGTTTTGCTTACACCATCTTTAAGAAATTAATTAATTTGAATTAACATTTTCTAATGATGTGATGATGTTGTTGCATGTGGAGATGACAGTATTGTACTCTGCATGGTTGCTGTAAAGCTCTATAAAAATCTATCTACATTTGAGTATACTGAATACTGTATGTTTATGCCAAGGTGTGTTACAGTGATGGCAATGTGAACACAACATAGAGAAATCACTAGATCACTTCAGAAAGCTCCTTCTGCAATGATGGAGGTCAGAGTGCACTAAGCAGTTATCCTCTTTTGTCACCATCTCTCCTCCTCATCATCCACTCCAGGGAGACCAGTACTGGCGTCTGGATGGGAACATGGTGATGGAGCCGGGCTACCCCAAACCTCTGGTGTCCGAGTTCCCAGGTCTGACAGGAAGCATCAGTGCTGCACTGCCAGTACCAGCCACAAGGAGCAGACCGGAGACTGTGTACTTCTTTAAGAATGGTGAGGAATAACAGGAAGATACAAGCTGCTGAATCCAAAGAGAAGCTGGGAAGGGTTGGTGGAAGAGCCGTTCAATGGCTGGTGTCAGGTGGGGTAGAAGCTGTTGTTTTTGACAACTGAGCCAATTGCTGATGAAGACCATGAGATGCTGTTGAAAGGTCTGGAAAGAGCTAATAGGTGGACCTTTCAAAACAAAACAGCAGTTTTGGGCCTGAACCCGGTGGGTCGTCAGGTCCAATCAGGTTCAGGCAGAGAATCAAAGCTCTGCTATGTGTCTTCTTTGTAGTGCTGTTTGAGTTTATGATGATATGACCAACAGTAGCTCTCCCTGTCTGTCCTCTAGGAGACATCATGCAGAGGTTCACCTTCCCATCAGGCAGCGTTCCACCCTGCAGCAAGACATCAAGAAGCTCCTTTCAGAAGCGTTTCGCTCGCCAGGCCGGTTGGTATCCAAACAAAGCATTTTCCCGGAAATGTTGTTGTTGTTGACTGTTCCGTTAAAAAAACAACAACATGTATGTTAGGTTAACTCTTCAGTCAGTTTGCTTGACCAAGACAATGGCTTAGATCTGGATTGGTCAAATGCAGACAATGAATTTCCCTATGGGGGTCAATAAAGGACTTTAGGGGTGGGGCGGGGCTTACGAGCATGATATATGACATCACAAATAGTTTGGAAGTCAGTAGAAACTTAAAGCCTTGAATTTTAGGTACAAGTAGGAGTTGACTTTTTAAGGATTATGATGTGGAAATTGTAGTTTTTTGCAGAACAAACCCCACATCAGACACACATTACTGTTCCAAGCAGACTGTTGTATATATGTCTCAATGCATGCCTGGAGGGGGTCTTTACATTGTTGCATTAAATGAATCAAATAACAATCAAAGTGAGCTTCTTCTAAATGTACTTTGAATGCTGTTGTTCTTGTCACATCCAGAAGTTCTTCTCAGTGGTGAAATCAACATCAAAGTGTCTCTGAAGGGATTCCCCACCCCAGTCACCTCTGCTCTGTCCATGCCCAGCCTTCAGACGGGTGACCGATACGAGCACTACGTCTTCTCTGGACGTAAGAACCACCCAGTGCATTCTCTTTTTTCTCATTACAGAACAATAGGATTGGAGGCTGAAAGAAGTTGTGTAATTTGTAGTTTACCATGTTGACTGCGAACCAAATATACACTGTATTTCTCTTGTATTTCTCTATGTTTCTTCTGTGCATTTTCTGTAATCAGTCTGGTTGAGTGTCTGAGCTGAGGCCATATTCTCTGTCTTCTCTGCAGCTCTCTTCTTCAGTATCCAGATTTCAGGCAACCTACCTTCCCTGGCCAAACCTGACCCGTCTGCAGTCTTCGCACCCCTACCCATCACCAGCCCTGCTGTTGTCGTGGCAACCAACTCTGCCAACATGGCAGCTCAGAATGCTAAGCCTCCCAACCCAGGCCCAGCCAACTCCATCAGAGTTTGGCTGCGTTGTCCATAAGAACATCCTGAAAAGGTTCTTTTCTGGTATTTTCTGCATTTCTACTTGGTAAATATGTCTACTGGACACAGAGTAGCAATTTACTAGTTTAATAATATGTTGATAAAATGATTTTTTATTCTCGGGAAGTGAATCTTTCTTAAAATGTCAACTAAATGCCATAAAACCTCAAACTTTCCAAATGCTAGAGAGCAGAAGAGGTAGCTTTTACTGGAGTAAGAACCTTCCTTTCATTTTCCATGGCTGTGTAGTCGGTAGAATTTATACATTTTGAAGAATGGGGCATTTATAATGTGGCTTGATTGTTTTAGCACTACAGTAATTGTGTCCCACAGCTACATCCTGTTTCATTTAAAATTTTGTTTTGAAGATGGAAGCATGACAGCATTGTACTGGTCATTTAAAGCCTTATGGTAGCCATCTTAACCCATTCAAATATGTTACAAACACAAAAAAAGTATTGTAATAGTGGAGTTCTATTCTAAATGCACTCATGAATCATTAGAAATATATATAAAAAATACATTAAAATACGTTACTATATATTCTTTAATGTTAATTCCAATGGATAATAATGCTTTCTCATGGCTGACTGAGGCAAGGAGCATACATCCAATCAAATGAGTTTTTGCATTTTTACATCCTAGAAAGTTATACACATTGAATGGACAGAGGATCTGAAGGGGTTAAGTGTGATTGCTGATTGGCCCTTTCTGTCCACTACCACTCACTGACCTTTAAAAAAAACCCCAAAAAACAGACATGATATCGCTACTGTCATTATTCGGCTTTATTATTAAAACAAATGTATTAACAGAGCAAAATGAAGATACTAACAACATTTCAGACCCAGGACTGCTCTCATGAACACACATGAAGAAGAAATTACAAAACTAAAACCTTACTGGATTCCACAAACCTTACATTTCTCAGACACAAAGATCAGATCTCTCCTGTAATAGTGTAGTAACTAATTTTGATTGGACTGAATATTTATTGTATACTGAATGTCCCAAATTTCCAACAAAAAATAATGCGGCAACTTTTTATTTCCTTGTTAGATGAAATGACTGAGTTGATACTTCGTCATTAGGCGATGCCCCCTCTGCCCATGGCTCCTCCCCTTCCTCCTCGAGAGAAAGTTCCTGAAAAAAAGTAAATGACTGAGGTGTTCCATTTGATGCAACATCATCACTGTTTAGAATATTATCCCCATCACTTCTGTACCCATGTGTATGCTGCTCTCTGCTTACTGCAATAAACAGCTTCATCATTACACTCTGAGTGAGTGCCGTTTCTTCTGTGGGTGTACAATATTATTATCAAGCAGAGGTTTTTAGTGTCTCACCTCTGCGGCTGAGTAATGTCCTGGTCTCCCCCCTCCCTCCTCTAGTTCCTCTGCCTGATAGGCTGCTGATCAGAGGTTGAGTGGTCACTGTGCGCCGCTGAGGAACACTGCTTGTGTCTAGGAATAAGGCCGGAGATGAGCAGTGAGATCAGATATTCAGAGATTCAGTGAGAGAACACAAACTTACTGGTTGGATGTTGGGATTCATAATGAAAATCAAACTATGAGGATTTAAATTACAGTCAGTAAACAATAAATTACCAGGCTCTTGGCTGGTAGATGGCAGTGATGCATCATCACTCTGCTGTCCTGTTGACTCCATGTCTGTTTGGCTCTCCAAAGAAGATTCAATACCAGGACTGGAAAACACAAATGCAGTTAGATCCAGTTCCCAGAATTGTCTGGAACCTTGCAATCTGATTACAAACTTTACAAAATCTTTTTTGTACCACAAATACACCTGATCCTTCAGAAAAGGGATACGAGTCATTCACATTCCTAATCAGTAAAATGTAACCTTTTTGTCAAATTCTCTAATATCAAAACAACACATTTAGTGGCCTGACTGTTCAGAAGTTGCTCACCCCTCTCCTTCCTGCTCCATGAAGACTTCATCTCCATCATCTGCAGCAGAAGCCATCCCGGTTGAGGCAGTTACCATGGGAACCGACTGGGATGCCATGTTGTCGCCGCTGTCTGAGGGCAGAGACTCTGTGAATACGGTCACTGACAGAGACCGAAAGTCAGGGAACATGATACAGAAATGTTGGCCGGTCATAGTGTGCAGAGTGTGAGTGTGTATCTTACCTGGTGCAGCCACTTGTAAAGGTGTGGTGGGGACGCTCCTCCCTCCTCCATCTTCATCATGAGCAGCCAGGAACAGAGGAGACTCGTACATACCCAGACCTACACAAACCACACACACACACACACACGAGTAGAAGGACAGGCAGGATTAAAAATAAATGAACAAGGAACTGTTTAGTTCAGGTGTCGCTGTCTGTGTGTGGGGTACCTCCTTGAGAGGCCAGCTGTCCCAGGTCAGAGTGTGAGGCTGATGTCTGAGGCAGCAGGTCTTCTGGAGGTCCAAACCTGAACCTGGTGGACAGACCTGCTACCTGAGGAGAACTGAGGAGAGGAGAGTAACATGAGAGTCACAGTTAGTTGTTTTTATTATGAGATAAACTGCCTGCTTTCCACCCTTGTTAGACTGACGAACGTTTTGCTCTCATTATTTATGCATTTCTGATTTCCTACAACATTTGTCTTTACTTTGTATCACCATGGGAATTTTCTTTTCCCCCTGATGTCTGACTTGCTGTGAATAAGTGAGTCTTCATTTCATCACATGACTGTGATGGACTCAACAATCTGTTTCTACACATCACAATTTGTATAATTGACGTGTGGCCTTGATTCATTACTCTCTGTTGTTGCTTTGGATCACTATAGACTTTGTGCATGTGTGTGTGTGTGTGTGTGTGTGTGTGTGTGTGTGTGTGTGTGTGGATCTTACTGTATAGCCTCAGCAAAGCCATCAGTGCGGTGTGGTACTACCAGAGTGGGAGTACTGGGAACCATTCTGTCGTCATCATCAAAGAAATGTTGCTGCAAGACAAACACATCATCTCACTGAGGGATGGGACAATATACCATTGCGTATTACAATAAAAAAAAAACACTCAGATAAGTTTATGATGGTGACTTGAAAAAGCTGTCTAGCTTGCTAACGTACAGCCCTTGATTGCCGGATTTATTTCAAAATTTCACAAGGGGGAGCCCACACATTTCCAGGCATTCCAAAATCAAAATGCTGTCACCATGGCTGAAGGCTCAGTTAGTTAAATCAGATGTGTGTACTACTATGGATTCTAAAGAACGACAGGGATAAACTTTACAAATGAAATTGATGATCATCGCGATATCAGGATTCACAATTATTTAAGGCCAGATAATCATGATATGAAATTTTCATGTTGTCCCATGTCTAATCTCACTATAGATGCAGATCTACTTCACATGTTCACTATGTCCCGTTTTAGAACCAACAATACAATGTATTATTGTATTGTTGGGTATGTTTAACATCATTAACATATAAAGTAACACACTCACACACACTCACTCCATCTCTTACCATACTGCCTATTCCAGGGGTCAGTTGAGGTCCACGTCCTACTGATGGTCTGCGCAGCTGAGAGGGCTGTCTCTGATGAACAAAAACATCACTGTCAGATGATTCTGCAAGTTATTTACTAAATCATTTTCCAGGACATATAACACATATTAAACTTAAAGCTGCAGTAGGCAACTTTTATAAAAATAACTTATATTTGCTGAAACTTTCACTATATCCTGACAGTAGTACAGAGAATCTGTTTCCCTGAGTCATTGTAGAGCTCCTAATTGCACCGCCCTTCAAACAATGTGGCTACTGGTACTGATTAATTAACAGTCTACTACTATTTTTCTGTGAAGCTACAAAGAAATAGAATCTTTTTATTTAATTTGATCACGCTGTGTGTGTGTGTGTGTGTGTGTACCTGTGTGTGTGGGGGTCCTAGCTCTGGAGCCGGAGGTTGGATGTAGAGCCGTGGTGGAAGGGGATGCGGGGGCCTACGTGGGTGGGGTAGGCGGGGTGTGTGGGAGGAGGAGGGGGACGGGGAGGGGGAGGGTGCAGAGGAGAAGGAGGGGGTTGGGGCAAGGTGTACGGGGTCTCTGGGGGGGTCGCACTCTGATGTGGCACTGCTGCTGCCTTCACCTGGAAGAGATGAGTGGGTTACAATGGTGATTTCAAAATGAAGATTAATCTAACCAATCAGAGACCACGGTCGGTGCTCACTGCTGTGTGACGGCTCAGAGGGACGCTGGGAGTCTGAAGATGCTCCGCATACATTCTCCTCATTGTTGGGGGCTTCTGTTGGCTCCTCCTCCCCTCCATCCCCTTCAGCCTCCCTGCTCTCATTACTATCGTCTCCTTCTCTCATCCCGCTGTCACCAGCATCATCCTCATCTTCATCGTCCTCTTCTTCCTCCTTATACTGAGGCAGATACAGAAAGCTGGGTTATTTGTTCCGGACGATATATCACAGTTGAAAACATTTTGAAAAATTAATAAACAGAACAGCACCTCCTCCTCCTCCTCTTCTTCTTCTTCTTCTTCTTCCTCCTCTTCCTCCTCCTCCTCCTCCTCTTCTTCCTCTTCACCTTCATCCTCCTGCTTCTCCTCCCCCACTTTGCTCTCACGGCTGTCGCTGTCCGTCTCGATCACGATGACATCCCGAATGATAGCGGAGCCCTGAGAGGACATCTGATCAGAAGGCACAGACTGGGACACGCCTTCCTCATCGATGTCCTCGTCGTCTTCAGCTAAGACGGGGAAACCCTCCTCTGGAAGTTCCTACAAGCCAAACATAAACCCATTATTAAACCACTGCAGGTGCTTTTAAGAACCATCATCATTCCAATCCAAACCTCATGAAACTTTGCACAAAATTCGTCATGGCGAAAGTTTACATATTGTCTTGGTCCCGCAGATGGGCGTCACAAAACGGCTTAACCACACCCTCCAGAATCAGCCCCCAAGACACATACGACTGCTATGTACAAAAATTGGTATGTATGTGTTTCGTGATGGGACAAGCAAAAAAGGCTGCTCTGGCTCAGAGGTAGAGCAGGTCGTCCACTAATCGGAAGGTTGTTGGTTCGATCCCCTGCTGCATGTCGAAGTATCCTTGAGCAAGAGCCCAAATTGTTCCTGATGCTGTGTCATCAGTGTGCGAATGTGTATGAATAGTTTCTGTTCGATGAACTTAGCCAATGTGTGTGAAAGGGTGGATGTGGCACGTAGTGTAAAAGCACTGAGGTGTGGTCGGAAGACTAGAGAGTCAATTTACCATCCATCCATTTACAAATATTCAGCGCCCCCTATTGGTAACAGGAAGTAAGCGTCATGTGGCTTCTTTTTAAATTTGATCTGATATACGTGAAATTTTCAAGTTGTGGTTCACACGTTACGCCGGCACATGACGCGCGCTGACTGCGAGGGCCCATTCATCACCTCTGCAAAGTTGCTTTCATTGGTAACTGACCTGACTGTCATCTGGTGAATTCTGTTGTTCTCCCTCATCCCTCAGCTCTCCTTCAATCTCCTCATCATCCTCCATCTAAAAACAACAAGTTACACAGCTGTAATTGCACACTTAAGTTAATAATGATTATATTATGTTTTAATAATGACAAATGAAATACACACACAAAATATTAACATTTTGAAACAGGCTTTATACAGCTTCTTCAATGCCAAGCTTTTGAATCTTGTCTTTCTTATTCAGGAA